TTCTTTATTATCATCAAATAATAAAACCCACCAAAAAAATTTTTTTTTTAATTTTTTGCCACTGGTAAGAAGGAACCTAGGCATGCTAGGTTCCATCCAATCACCGAAAAATCCAATTCAAGCAATCCCACTGAAAAACGCAAGCCCTTGCCAAAAAAAAGTTGTCGCTGTCACCGACCACCCCTTAGCCACCATTGACAAAGCAATTCCCAATTCCTCTTGAAGCCATCGTTAACAGGGCAAGATAACCATGCCGCCTCGCCATCCAAAGCAAAACAGATCAGTGAGCTAAGATACACCACTCCTTTTCCCCGACCCCCATTGCTTCCACCATGAGATCGAAATCTTCCATGGCCAGAAACTTGGTCACCACCTCCATCATCCCTGTATGTTCCCTTTCTCATCGCCAAGACTCGTTGAATCTACAGGAAACCCACAATCCGAGCAAAACCAAAATATTCAGCACACAAAAAACCCACCCCCATCCTCCTTGCCTCCTACATCTGCTATTGCTCCTCCCCCCTCGCTCTCGTTCCCATAACCCTACTGTCGCTTCCACCTCTGATGGGATCGTTCTCCCGAGGATTATTTTTGTTACCGAAGATGATGACCAAGAACCCACACCTGGGATCCAAAGAACCCATGCACTGGGTTCCTTTGCACCCAGCACGCTTGGGTTCGTTGGTTATTTCCACTAGCCTCACTGTTGATTTTTATATGCTTTGTAGTTTTAAGGATGTTGTGTGGTTTTAACTGTTTCGGGTTTTGGTGGGTTATAGGGGAATGCTGGAAAAGGTAAAGTGGTTGAGCAGGGCAAGAATGACAATAAAGAACAAGGTTTGGTGGGTACCAATCAAAATTCCAAGGAGTGTGTTTTTAAGGTTGCTGATGATATCACTTATAATTGCCATATCAAAGATTTTCTGCTTTCATGCTTTTATAAGAATGTGGTTTAAATGTGGTGCGTGTGAAATTCAGGATATCATGAATGATCCTGGCAGAATCAACGCAATGACAGTTCACCAACTCAAGGCTGCATTGCGGTATGTACAAATTTTGAGGATAAACATAAAAAGAGATATATGGATTCTGTTTTAGGTGTTTGTGTTCTCGTATCGTAGTTTTTAGCTTTATTGTATCATGTCATGAACACAAGTAGTGCACGGTGCACATATCCTAAATTCTTTAAGGCCATTGATGATAAAGAGAATAAACCACAAAGAAGCTGTGCAATAAAACATTATGCATGTAACTGCTTTAACTAGTTGGATTAGTTCCTTGTTTGTCATGCAGTGCTTTGCACTCTAAACTACTCTCAAGGATTGTTTTTGTCCATATGAATTTGATTTTGATATTATGATTTTAAATTCTCAGGAATGCTGGCCTCCCTGCCAAAGGTTGCAAGAGTGACCTTGTATCTGCCTTGAAGACTTATTTGGATAAGCAATTAGATGGTATGCAAATTTAATTTTGAGATCAAGTTTTATTATTTCTTTCAGTGCTCTATTAAGCTTTGGCTTTTAGCTGCTAACATGGAGGAAGATAAGAAAATCAACTTTAATATGGAAATGATTGCTGCCAGTTTTCTGATTTCTTTCTTCTCTTCCTTGTTTCTGAGAACCTGTTTGAGTTCAACGGTAAGTTGCTCATTTCCTAAGAATGGATATCCTTTGAGCATGTAGGTGAAAGTTCTCATTTAGGAGATGAACAACTTTCCTCCATTTCTGCTCAAGGCATCTCAGTGGCAGGAAAGACTAACACATCAGGTGAACTTGATGCTAAAATTGTCATGAAAGGAAGAAGCTTTCAATCAAGGGTAATGTTTCAGGTGCCTTAAGTGTCTTTATTGCAGCAATAGTATGCTTATTTGCTATCACTAATCATTTAGGAACTTTCTACTTTCCCTTGAAATGTGGTTGAGGTTATCAGTTTGAGGGGTTTAATTTTTCTAATAATTAAATTAAGATGGCTCATTTTGGTAAATGTTGGTAGAAAAGAAGCCTTCTCAACCAATCAGGAAAGCATCTTTGGTTATTGATGGCAAAGACACTAATGATGGAGTTAATGTTCCAATGAGTCAACATCAACCATGGACAATTTTTGCCCACAAGAAGCCTCAGAAAGGGTGGATAGCCTATAATCCAGGAATCATGAGGCCTCCACCACTTACAGGAGATACTAAATGTATGAAGCGAATGTCTTGGAATGTGAACAGGCTGAGAGCGCTGCTGAAGTTAGAGGGGTTCTCTGCTCTTGAGCTTGCTAAAAGGGAAAACTTTGATGTATTGTGCTTACAGGAAACGAAACTGCAGGCAAGATATAATATTTCAATAACATGTTAGCTTTTTGTTTCTTAAATTTAACCATGGTATTCATTTTTAATTTGGTTAAAATAAAGTGATATATATATATATTTTTTTATCAACAAAAGATAGTATTATTAAGTTGGAGTACAAGGGGTACTCCTACCTGTACAAAAAAGAGTAGATTATAAAGTTAGGGTGATACTATCAACACATTCATACAAAAGTTTACCCCAAAATCTACCCCAAAATAAAGTGATATTTTCTGTTCAGTTTTTAATTATTTGTCTTATTTGAAGGCTAAAGCATAGTCTTAGACTCTTAGCAGTCACATTGAGGTATGATTTGTGACAAATCCCATATCAGTGGATGAGTGAAATTATATTTTCCTTTCAACCTCACAAAACTAAGCACCAAAATTTTTCTCTTTTACTAGCCCAGCATATGATTGTATTTGGATGGACATGCATATGGTACTAAATTGTCTTTAGATACTGTACATGTGTGCACCTGCAAGTGTGTGCATGTGTGTGTGTGGATATGATTCGTAAAAATATGATTTGTAAAAGTATAGTAAGCATTTGAGGGTTGCCATTTTTATCTATATATTGAGTGGATTTTTAAATCTTGGAACAGGAGAAAGATGTTGAGTCAATCAAACACTCTCTTTTAGAGGGATATGAGAATAGCTTCTGGACAAGCAGGGTTTCCAAACTTGGCTATTCCGGTACAGCAATTATATTCTGGGTATGCACATTCTTTTTAGGAGAATTTAAGTATCTTTTGATTCCTTGATATGATAGCCTTGCTTGTTCTTATTGTTTTATTAAATATTAGAAGTTGTCAACAGATAAAGCCGCTTTCAGTCAGTTATGGCCTGGGCATATCAGATCATGTTAGTGAAGGTCGTCTGGTGACAGCTGAATTTGATACATTTTATTTGCTAAGTGCCTATGTTCCTAATTCTGGAGATGGCTTGAGAAGGCTGGTACTAGACTTTAACATCTTCTATCATATCTCTTGCTACCTTTTTCTTGAAGAGTTCTTTTGTTTCTTCCTTTTGACTTCCTTGCTTTTAACTAGCCATACAGGATTACAGAATGGGATCAATCTCTGAGCAATTACATGAAGGTAAGTCTGGCATATATCACTATTCAATTTTCTTTCTTTCTTTTTCCTCTCTTTTTTATTTTTATTTTTATTTTTAATTTTAACTTTGTCTCCCTTCTCTTTTTCCACATGTTTTCTCCAGTATAGAATCTACTTTTTAAGATTTTAAAGAACTTCTGGTTTGTATTCTACAGTGGAGGGGTTATCTCCAAAATAACAGTTGTTTCGTGCTTGGCATAATTAACTCAATGACATCAATGAACTAAAGATTATAATCTATCTATACATTGAATGTGGATCCTTAGACTTGAGTTCTGAAATTTGATGGCCATCATCGTAATGTGGCATCAAATTAGTTATTTCACAAAGATAGTTTTCAGTTTGATTAACAAGAACAGATTATTTGTTATTTGCAAATGCTGTGCATAATTTTTTTTAAAGTTTAGTCTCTTCTTTGGCCAGTTTGAAAGTTTACTCATTGGAATAGGAAAAACTTATCAGTGTTCTCTGGCTTTTAACCAATTACACTTTCTAAGGTCATGAATATGTATGTGCTCTGAATCTGATCTCCCTTAAAGGGTTTTTAAATATATGAAACAGGTGACTAGATGTTTTTTTCTCAAAATAAAACATTTGCATTGTGCCTTTGGATTGCCAAATCCCAATGCTTAACATTTTTCTTATGCATGATGCAGGAGCTGGAAAAGTCAAAGCCTGTCATTTTGACAGGTGATCTCAATTGTGCACATGAAGCGATAGACATTTATGACCCTATTGTGAGTGTTTAAAAATTTTTATCATTTAAGACCCTATTGTGTGTTTAAAAATTTTTATCTTTTTTTTTTTTTTGAAAAAAAATTAAAAATTTTTATCTTTTTTTTTTTTTTTTGAAAAAAAATGATATACTGATGATTATAT